AATTGTGTTGATCAAGCTCATTTAAATGAGTATTATGAACTCAAACACGTCTGGAGATGATGGCAGAATCTGCATTATTATCGGCTGAGCGGTGTTATTATTAAGATCCCAGAAAAGTGCTGTGTGTGTGTGTGTGTGTGCAGAGATTATGATGCACTAATGACAGTAATGAGCACACGATGCAGTGATCATCATGACTGAGGCATCAGCGGCTCTAGATTGAGCAGCACTGTAGATCAGCTCTCCTCATCAGTGTGCTCATCTCTCCTGTTTGCTTCTCCACTGCAGTGTGGCGTCTGGAGCTTTCCTCCAGCAACTTTCCACCTCGAACAGTCCGAACAACGACTATAATCAACATCTGTGAGTCATTCATTCATTTGCATTTCAGCTTAGTCCCTTATTCGCCACAGTGGAATGAACCACCAACTTATCCAGCATAAGTTTTGCACAGCGAATGCCCTTCCAGCTGCAACCCTGTACTGGGAAATGAACATCTGTATTGGTCCAGTTTATTAGTGCAGCGCTTTTACTGTCGCCTCACAGCAAGAAGGTCTCTGGTTTGAGTCTCGGCTGGGTCAGTTGGTGTTTTCTGTGTGGAGTTGGCATGTTCTCCCCGTGTCACATCCGCTGTGTAAAAAATATGCTGGAATAGTTAGCGGTTCATTCCGCTGTGGTGACCCCTAATGAATAAAGGGATTAAGCTGAAGGAGAATGACTGAATGAACTCGCGTGACCTGCCGGTGTTCAGAGCTCCGTCTGTCGTCAGCCTGATTGACCGCTGTACGCTGGATAAATATACTCGTGTCTAGTAGATGTTGGTGTTCATATTCTTCCAGTGTGTCCATGAGCACCCCTGCTGGCAGGAAGTGGAGTTGCACTTTCATTCAGGCTGTCTGCAGTTTTTCTTCTCACACAAGACAAAGTTTGTGTGTGTGTGTGTGTGTGTGTGTGTGTGTGTTGTGCAGTTCATCGTTAGCTGATGTTGTGTGTGTCTCCGCAGAGCGAGTGTTCGCCAGCCTGCCTCATATGGAGAGGGGCGTGGCCAAAGTCCTGGGCGGAGACCCGAAAGGAAACAACTTCCTGTACACCAACGGCAAGAGTGTGATCATCAGGAACATCGAGGTGAAACTTTCTGTTTAGAAACGCTAATGATGAAATCTTGCTTCTGTTGCGCTCTCTGTGCGGGAGATAATCATGTTAATATGTTAATAATGTTAATTAACTCAGCGTCGATGCTGATATACAATAATACGATATCTGATGACATTGACCATGCATGATGTTGTTATTGTGGGGAAAATACAGTCAATGATTATTTAATGTTCTACAGTGCACATAATGTTGTTTTCATCACAGCCTCACATTAAGATTGAAGAATTGAAGAGTGAATGGGCTGTTAATTATTAATGAACATTTAGCTGTTAATCTGATACTCTCTGACACGCTGACATACTGACTGAATATTGATTAGAGACTGCGAACTCAATCAATATTGGAGACTGAGTAATCAATAATTACTCTTAGCTGATGTTCATTTCTCTATGGTGAATCTGTTTAATTAAAGCTGCTTCAGTATTGTGAGACTCGAGTGTTCAGCCTGTTTCTGCTGGCTTTGATCAGTTGCTGAATGTTCTGATCGACGGGCTCTTCAGTGTCTTTCTGTTGTTATTTTTAAGAGCATGAAGGAACACACACTCTGTACTCCAGCATGACTTTACCATGTGTCCAGTGTGCTGCTTTCAGTCCAGCGGTTATTACCATTGTAGTTTACTGTGTGTGTGTGTGTGTGTGTGTGTGTGTGTGTTTGTCTGTGTGTGTGTGTGTCTGCAGAACCCTGCGATCGCTGACGTCTACACCGAGCATCCCCATCAGGTCATCGTGGCCAAATACTGTCCCAGTGGCTTCTACATCGCATCGGGCGGTGAGTGAGTGTGAGTGCGTGCGAGTGCATGTGAGTGAGTGAGTGTGTGTGCGTGCGAGTGTGCGAGAGTGTGTGCGTGCGAGTGTGTGCAAGTTTATCTCTGTGTGTATGTTTATCTCTGTGTGTGTGTGTGCATGCGATTGTGTATCTGTGGGTGTGGGTGTGTGTGTGTGTTTATCTCCGTGTTTATCCCTGACCGTGTGTGTGTGTGTGTGTGTGTGTGTGTGTGTGTGTGTGTGTGTGTGTGTGTGTGTGTGTGTGTGTGTGTGTGTGTGTGTGTGTGTGTGTGTGTGTGTGTGTGTGTGTGTGTGTGTGTGTGTGTGTGTGTGTGTGTGTGTGTGTGTGTGTGTGTGTGTGTGTGTGTGTGTGTGTGTGTGTGTGTGTGTGTGTGTGTGTGTGTGTGTGTGTGTGTGTGTGTGTGTGTGTGTGTGTGCGTGCGCGTGCGCAGACGTGTCAGGGAAGGTGCGTATCTGGGACACCACACAGAAGGAGCACCTGCTGAAGTACGAGTATCAGCCGTTCGGCGGGAAGATCAAAGACATCGCCTGGACTGAAGACAGCAAGAGGCTGGCGGTGGTGGGGGAGGGGCGAGAGAAGTGAGTGACCGCTGCTGGACACGCCCTCTGCTGACTCACTGACTCTGACTTTGTGCTGACATCACCCGTGTGTATGAGAGGGAGTGTGTTTGTGAGAGTGTGTTAACTGTGTGTGTGTGTGTGTGTGTGTGTGTGTGTGTGTGTGTGTGTGCAGGTTTGGTGCAGTGTTCCTCTGGGACACCGGTTCTTCAGTGGGGGAGATTGTGGGTCACAGTAAGATCATCAACAGTGTGGACATCAAGCAGACGCGTCCGTATCGGCTGGTGACCGGCAGCGACGACAACTGCACCACCTTCCTGGAGGGCCCGCCGTTCAAGTTCAAGTGCACCATGACCGTAAGCAGACATGTGTGCGTGTGTGTGTGAATACGTGTAGTTGTTTCAAAGGGTTCATCATGTAATAATGTGCACAAATACACCCGTTTAGGAAACTGCTATGATTGTACATGATATACTCAACATTTAGTACAAGTGATGCCATGAACAGAGCCAATGCTGCTGAGACGCCATCAAAACACAGAGAAATACAGTAATGCATGAATCACAGCTGCAGACTGTAGTAAAGCAGCTCTCGTTAGTGCGCGCGTGTGTGTGTGTGCGCGTCTGCGTGTGTGTGTTCTCATCCGACCTCATTAAAGTATTCTAGTTGTGAATTAGAGCTTATTTCCACCTGCTGCACC